CCCTTTTAAGCATTCCTCATACATAACAGAGTTTTTTCAAATGTATTTTGTACACAGTTTTGATTTTTCGCTGGGAATTGTTCACAGCACGGAGCATATATTTTTTAGTAAAGAAAGTTAATATCCTGTGTGACCGCTATGTTTTTAAAATAAAGGTTTTACTAATGAGAACCCTTTCTCTCCAATACCAATGAATTTGGGCTTGCTAAACCTGCCCCAGGGCAAGAAGAGGGTTTGTACGCCAGGATTTGAGGGTTTGTTCCGTGATTTGAGGGGCTGGTTTGTTTGCCAGGGGGTTTGTTTGAGGGGTTTGCCAGGTTTGGAGGGTTTGTTTGCTGCAATTTGAGGTATTTTACTGCCTTTGGGCCTAGGCCCTGCCAAAGCCTTCCCTGCTGTACCGGCCGGGGGAGCGGGGAGTGGTGTGACCGTTACGGGACCCCTGAGGGGACTGGAGCCACACGTGCCCTCCCGTCCCCTTCCTCCAGGTCAGTGCCTTTCCCTTGGGCGTCAGGTGGGACCGGAGCCCGTCCCATCCCGTCCCACATGTGGCAGCAGCCGCGGGGCACGGGGAGGCCTCTGAGATGGCGGCAGCAGCTTGTGCAGGGCAGCGTTTGGCTGGTGAGTGGGGCCATGAGGGAACCGCCTCGGTGATTGGGAGGGAACAACCTCGGTGGCCATGAGGGAACCGCCTCGGTGATCGGGAGGGAACAGCCTCGATGACTGGGAGGGAACAGCCTCGATGACTGGGAGGGAACACTTGTGGTGGCCATGAGGGAACAGCCTCGGTGATCGTGAGGGAACAGCCTCGGTGATCGTGAGGGAACAGCCTCGGTGGCCATGACAGAACACCCATGGTGGCCATGAGGGAACAGCCTCGGTGATCATGAGGGAACAGCCTCGATGACTGGGAGGGAACACTCGTGGTGGCCATGAGGGAATAGCCTCGGTGGCCCAGAGGCAGAACCCGGTTCTTGAGGTATAACCCGGTCCTTGTGTTGCCCCGAGGTCCTCGCCGTGGCGCTGGTCACACAGCTGGAGCGCTCGGATGCCACGGGCTGTGAGCTGGGCGAGTACCCCAATGGCACCAAGTGCTGCCCCACATGTGCTGCGGGTACGTACCGGCCTGCCCTGCCTGCCCTTCGTGCTCTGCCTGCCCTGCCTGTGATTCCTGCCCTGCCTGCCCTCCCTGCTCACCACCTCAGCTTGGGGCGCTTCCCTCTGCTTTAGGGGCCATGGGGTGACTGATGCCAGTGGCCATGGGCACCTGCCTCAACGGCAGTGGCTATGAGGTGACCCACCTCAGTGGACAGTGGCTGTGGGGACCTGACACTGCTCCCGTGCCTGCTGTGCCCTGACAAGAGCCAGGCAGCCCATGGCTGTGAGCATCACCCAGGGAATCCTCCCCAGCCAGCACTCAGCCCTCACCCAGTGCCGGGCCCTGTCCCTTCCTTGGGAGCCTCCAGAGTGGCTGTAACAATCACCATGGTCTGTAGGATCCAGAACTCTTTCCACATGCAGAGTTGTGGTGCTGTTGAGCAGTGCATCAGGACAAGGCTAAATGTTGTCTTTGGGTGCTGTTTCCCCGTGTCAACGCCGTGGCTCTGTGTGTGTGGATTTCTCTCAGGGGCCAACCTGGTGACAGCAGCAGCGTGTACCTACACGAAGAACACGGTGTGTGGCTGTCGGCCAGG